CGGAGGCGAAGGAATTGGGAATAGGGGATAGCATTTTTGCAGGAAGGTGGGTGGGAGGAGGAGTATTCTAGGTAGCTGTGGGAGTTGGTGGGCTTGAAATGAATATCGGTTTCTAGGTGGTTGCCCGATATGGAGACAGAGAGGTCCAGGAAGGGGAGAGAGGTATTAGAGATGGTCCAGGTAAACTTAAGGTTGGGGTGGAAGGTGTTGGTGAAGTGGATGAACTGTTCGAGCTCCTCGTGGGAGCACGAGGCGGCGCCGATACAGTCATCAATGTAACGGAGGAAGAGGTGGGGTTTAGGGCCAGTGTAGGTACGGAAGAGGGATTGTTCCACGTAACCTACAAAGAGGCAGGCGTAGCTTGGGCCCATGCAGGTACCCATGGCCACCCACTTTGTCTGTACGAAGTGGGAGGAATTGAAAGAGTTGTTGAGGGTGAGGACGAGTTCGGCTAAGCAGATGAGGGTATCAGTGGAGGGGGACTGGTCGGGCCTGCGGGACAGGAAGAAGCGGAGGGCCTTTAGGCCATCTGCATGGGGAATGCAGGTGTAGAGGGACTGGACGTCCATGGTAAAGATGAGGTGTGGGGACCGGGGAATTGGAAGTTCTGGAGGAGGTGGAGGGCGTGGGTGGTGTCACGGACATAGGTAGGGAGTTCCTGGACCAAGGGGGAGAAAATGGAGTCCAGATAGTTGGAGATCAGTTCGGTGGGGCAGGAGCAGGCGGAGACAATGGGTCGACCAGGGCATTCAGGTTTATGGATTTTGGGAAGGAGATAGAAGCGGGCAGTGCGGGGTTGGGGAACGATGAGGTTGGAGGCCGTGGGTGGAAGGTCACCTGAGGTGATGAGGTTGTGGATAGTTTGGGAGATGATGGCTTGGTGCTCAGGGGTGGGGTCATGATCAAGGGGGCGGTAGGAGGTGGTGTCGGAGAGTTGGCGTCTGGCCTCGGCGATGTAGAGGTCAGTGCGCCATACTACAACTGCACCTCCCTTGTCCGCGGGTTTTGTGGTGAGGTTGGGATTGGAGCGGAGGGAGCAGAGGGCTGCACGTTCTGTGGGGGAGAGGTTGGAGTGGGTGAGAGGGGTGGAGAGGTTGAGGCGATTCATGTCTCTACGGCATAATCTTAAAAGTCTTACAAATTTCACCTTTACTTTCTTCGCATTATTATGAAAAGCCCCAACTTCTTAAATTTCTCTTCTTAACTGGACACTCTTATAACAACTTAGTAAATTTATATCATACTACTTCCATAGTTGTTGCATTCTTTCTACGCTGCAGTGCCCAAAACTCTAGAATTATGGACAAATTTACAAATGTTCTTCTAAAATTATATTTATTGACACTATTACAAGTGTAGCACTAAGGTGATGTTTCAGGCTGATGTAAAGAAAGCACTAATACATCACAAAAATGGTATCTTTAAGATTCAAGCTTTGTTACAAAATATGGCAAAGCCCAAAAACTAATTAATACAGATTGAAAAAAAAATCCTTCAGATATTACATACCCTTACTTGGGACTATTTGGAAAACTAGCAAAAATTGTACAAACACAAATGAGGTTTGCCCCCTTAATTCATCTAGCTTTTTTAGAAAAAGGACTAAACCAAGCACATGTTATCACATTGTAAAGGTTGCTTTGCCTTTTAAAAACAAGTGCAACCAACATACAAGTTATATACTAACAGTCTGATTTTCCTTACCTGCCAGACATAATTCTTGGCCTCCTCCAATGTGGTTGGCATACAAATCATCAGCAAATTCTGTAGTATGGACGCAGCCTGAAAGAAATATACCATTATAATCTTACAATCCCAGTGGGTGTTAAGCAGTATAGCAGCATCAAAATGAACCACAGTGAATATCTAATAATGAAACAGTCAGAAAGCTTAGTGTGTAGGGTCTCCTTCGTTCATCTTTTCACAATAGCATCTGGAATTGCATCAGATTACACATTCTTAGATCATACATCGGGAAACCTGGATGCTTTAACATGACATTTTTTTTTTATGCCTAATCACATTACAATCCAGCTCTGCATAAGACAAAAACTTCTATGCAAGCATGAAAGTAATATTTACTTTTGATCCATATTCTAGCAAGCATTAATGAATAGTTGGGTCACAGGGTAATAGATGAGGGCAACTTCCAACATAAATGACAACGATCCTATAAGTAATTGCTTTATCTTCTTCATTCAACATCCTTTAACCAAGGAAGTACTCTTCAAGCTGAGGAAAATGTACAGCCTTTGTGAGCAAAGACTCCAACCACCAGCATAAATTAGCATAAAACATAATTCATAACAGTTAATTCCCAACATATTTTGAAACATTGTGTTGGTTACTCAACATAACAGCTTTAGGAATTGTCAAAGACAAACATTACAAAGATGCCCAAGAAAGATTTGTGGAACACTACTTCTTACAGTTTCCTGGAGAAACAGCTTCGGTGAAGATTGCAAAACATAATCCACATCCATTTGCAAGTCTTTTTAGAAAGAGGCCTTCCTAGCAGCCAGGAGGTTCATAGTTAAGAAATAGCTCTTCAGTCTAGCCTAAATTATTGCAGAATGCTTGGGTGGGGAAAGTGAACCAGACAATGATCATGATCACTTCCATTTCGAGATCAGCATAATCAAAACCTTTTTTGATACCGCTGACACCTCATTGACTCTTTTGAAAGACTGTTAAAAATGCTCAATGTTAAACAGCACTGTGAAAAGTGTTAAGATTACAAACAAACAATAGAAAAAACTAAACAGAATACACAATATTAATAAGAAGCAAGTAGTGGGAACTAATAACAAGCTATGAACATGGATACGTGTGAACAATATTGTTTCTAGCTGATATGGTGTTTGCACATGCAGCCACAACCTGTTAATATGAAGGCATCATTTGAACCCTACAAGCACAGAAATGTAATTAAGATGACTGATCTCTGTGAAGTTTCCTAGCATATAATCTGATCAGGTTAAACAATCCTATGATGTGACTATTGAGAGGTACCAGGTGCTATTGAAAATATTTTTATGGCTTCAGTTTCTGTTTGTTTCTTCCAGCAATCACAGAAGTGTCAGCTAAATGAGTATAAATGGTCAAGGAAATTTAAAGGTGAATGACACCACAAATCACTTCACATGATCCTTAATTTCCATGATCTTTAATTGTTGTTTCAGCATTCAATTCACCACATCAGGTAATCTCGCCCAATGAACTGGGACTATATCCCAGAATGAAAAATCAAAGTTCTGCAAACTGGGCTGGTTCTAAGGACCTTCAAATCACTTTCATTTTCTTAAACACAAAGCTGAGCAAGTATATTTCAAAAGATTTTTTTCCAGCAACAAATACGCTGCTATAAATATGTTACGAAGAAATTAACTTGTGTACAGACACAATTATTAAATGACTCAGCAAAGTTTCCTCACTCAGCTATTTTAAAATCAGATTACTCTCTGGTGAAGGGCTGAAAACCCTGATAAAATGCTGATTTGACTTTTGCTGGACCAAATAACCAACCTTTAAATACATGAGGTAATGCATTTAAATATAAAAAGAGGAGAAAAGAAACAATTACATTCTATTACACTGGCTGAATACACATATTCATGGAAGATTAAGTTTGTGATTATACAAATGAATTTTAGTGTAATCATTAACTTAAAGCTAACCGGCACAATCACTAACTCATTTTTAGGCTCCATTTTCTAATTGGCACCCAGAGCAGAAACTCTACCTCATTTCTTTTTGCTACTTTAAATGCAGAGCCAGATTATCCTATAAACTTATTTGGGGAAAAAACCCAACTTTTTTGGATTCCGTCGATGACTTTGTGAAATAAATTTAGTCAAGGGAGAACTTAACCAATATATTTCAAAACTCAAAACTGTAGTGAATAGATACTGGTGTCAATTGTTCAAAACTTTAATTAAAGCTACAGTGCTGAGCAAATTAAATTTTTTTGGGGGTTGCGGTTATTATCAAATGACCAACTCACTGAGACACAACCAATAGTAGATACATTTATCAATCAGCACTCAAATTATATTTGACGAGGGAAACTGCCACTTTATGAGCTTTTATGAATCTGAACTGATACCCACAATTTTAGCATAGAACAGAATACTTAATTAAATGTTTATCAGACACAGATGGCTTTCATCAAGCAAATACCATTGGATTTGCAAGTTAAGAACACTTTCAGATAATAGACCATCTCCTCGTTTGCGAGATGAAAGTACCATACACCAAACTGCAAAATGAGTCCTCCATCTCCCTCTTCAAACAAATTCCACTGCCTCTTGAATGAACGCATTCGAGCAACTAGTTTGATAAATCTTTCATCCTATGGATTGTGGCTTTTAATTCTAACTTTTAATGCCTGCATTTAAGAATAACATATTATCCATTCCTGGTTGTCCTGTGAAAGTGACCTGACCTCCTCTGCCACTTCAGAGGGCAGTAAACCTTTAAGTTCTTTAACAACCAGAAAGCCTTTTATAAAAAAAATACAATCTTATACTAGCTATCAGCACATAGTTAACTTCTCTTTATGTCACTCTAAGCCACAAAAATATCAAGAGAAATTGCTCATAATATCTTATCCCATTTGTAGAATAACAATGTTGCATTTCTGGTTAAACAATCTAACTCATTACATAAGTTCCATACTTTTCAGTATTTTAAAAGATTCCTATCTCAGTCCCCTTAATCACTTTTTAGCCCAATTCGAAGATCAATCTTTCAACTGTCTTTATGCGTAAACACATTGATCCTTTCTGGTCATTCTAATTTCAGTCTCAACATTTCTTTTCAAAATAATAGATTCAAATTTCCATAACATATTTAAACATGCCAAAGTTATTCACTTACGCAATGCCAGGTAGCCTTCTTTGATCTGTCCAATTGTCTTAAAGGGAACTTTCAAGATTGGTTCTCCTTTATTATATTTTTAAAAAACATTTTTATATTAATTAATTCAGGGGATTTTGTTTTTTTTTTAAGCTATTTCCAATATATTTCTTTGAATTTTTGGATCTTAGCTCTTTCTGGAAATCATTTGGCCACATTACTTAATGAGATTACTGAAAAGGCTGTGTTACTAAATCTCTCACTCCTCTGTACAGTTTAAAAATAATGCAATTAACTGATGACCTGAAAAAGACCTCACTTTTACCTCACTCAAAACTGCTCTTAGATATTTAAAATTTTGGTTAAAGCCTCTTGTGGGGCAGTAGTAGTGTCCCTACACCTGGACCGAGAGGCCTGGGTTCAAGTCCCATCCACTCCAGAGGTGTGTTATTAACATCTCCGAACGGGTTGATTAGAAAAATAGGTTAAATAAAAAAAACTTTTAACATTTTACTTAAATTAATTTTTAATTCAGCTACTCGTCTGGTCCTGCATTCATCAAATTCATTGTCATTGAAATGTTCAGGTAACCAAATTTACTAATTTCATCTGAAAATCCAAGTCTTTTATATTAGCAGGGTAACACACATTCTTAATTTGATTACATCCTTCAGGAATGCCAGTTGATTCACTAGGTATGATAGCAAATACATGTAGGCCATTTGGCCTCCGTTTCACCAGTTCATTCGATCATGGCTCTTTTGATCACAATTCCTATTACCTAATATTTGTTCCATTGATAGATTTTTGTTCAATAAAAACAATCGCACTCAATTTTTAAAAATTTAAATTGACCCAGCTTCTACAGTTTTTGAACAAGTGAACTATCCAGTTTCCACTGATACTGTAGAGATAACAGTGTGGAGCTGGAGGATGCAGTTCTTGCTATCTCCACTGATATTGTTCTGTCTTGTTCGGAATTCTCTCAACAGAGAAAATAGTTTATCAGCATCTATCTTACTGAATTCTTTAATCATTGAAATACTTAATTACTTGACCTTCAATCTTCTAAATAAGTAATACAAACCATTCATATGTAATTTGTCAAGATAATTTAAACCTTAAACCCCGTTATTATTCTGTGAATACCCTGTGAGAATCCTTCCAAGATCAATGGATGTTTTCAGAGAACTAGCGTGCAAAAGTGAATGCAGTACTCCAAATGGGGGCTAAACAAAGTTACGTGCAACTCAAGCATCACGTTATTACTTTTAAGTTCCAAACATATCTAAACCATGTTTTCTGATAATTGAAAGTCAATCAAGGTCAAATGCAGATTATGCAGCTGTTTTGCTGAACACCCCTGTTCACTAATTTGCTATTTCAACACTTCTTCACTGTTCCATTTTGAGGTTGGCCTTCTACATTGTTCCAATCAAGCTCAATTGAAGCTTGATTGACTGCATCTTGTGTTTTGATTAGACACGTGATAACTATCTAGACAATAGAGAATTCAACAATGTCAGATCATTAATACTGTTCCCATTTTCTTTCAGACAGCAAAAATTTCTGCTAATATTTCTACTACTCATTTAATCAATTTCTCCTTGCTCCCTATCTAAGGCTTTACCTTATGTTGTTTCTTTCCCACCATCCATTCTTATTAAAACCTTTTACATCTCCATTTGTTTACAATAATGAGGAAAAGTTCACTGACTTTAAATATGGACTTTCCAAAGATGCTACAGGGATGGGCGAGTAGTTTCAGAATTTTATTTTTATACTTCACATTTCCAGCATTCAAAATACTTTGTCGTTGGTTATTCAAAGAACTGGGTGTCTCGGAAAATTTTCTGCCATCTTTTCTCAATTTACTTATTTCAACATACATGCTTGGTTGATACTAATTTGCCAGATGCTTGAGTATAGTGCAGTAGTCAGGACTATTGGCCACGACATACAAATATCACCAGGCAGCCTAGAAATTGCGCTTCTTTCACGACTTGTAGACTACGTTATAATCATCATTTATGAGAGGTACATGCTGATGAAATGTTAAATTCTTTTATCTTGAATTAGTTTCTAAAAACAAAAAGACTTGTAGACTCAAATGTTTACAACCAGAAGGCCACTCAGCCCAATCACGTCCAAGTCGGTCAACCGAGATTTGACGACATTAAATTCCCATTTTACTGCTCTTGGCCCGCAGTCCTAGAGGCTATGGCAATGCTAATGAATGTCTAAACATTGCTTCAAATGTTAAGAGAGTTTCTGACTTAACCGCCCTTTCAGGCAGGGAGTTCCAGACTCCCACAACCCTCTGGATGAAAAATTCTCCTTATCTTTATTCGTAGCCTTCTATCTCCTTCCTTAAATCTATTTTTCCTTGTTATTGATCATCTAATCATGGAAAAAGTCTAATCCACCCTATCTATGCCCCTTATAATGTTTTACACTTTCATTAGTCTTCCCCTCAACCTTTTTTATGCCAGAAAAAACAACCTCCGTGATTGAATAGCTCAGGCAGCAACCTGGTAAGTCTTATCTGCACCCTCTCTAGTGCAATCGCATTCTTCCTAAATGTGATAACCATAACTGCATGCAATACTCCAGTTGTGGCTTAAATAGTGTTTTGCAGTTCCAGCATAACCTCCTCGCTGTTGAATCAATGTTTCAGCTAATGAAAGCAAATATTCCATATGTCATCTTAACCACTTTATTTACCTGCTCTGCTTTCTTCAAGGATCTATGGATATGTACACCATAGTCCTTCCAATCTTTAGTACTTTGGAGAGTCCTGCCATGTACAGTTTCATCCCTTTCCTTGTTAGCCCTCCCAAAGTGCATAACCTCACACTGTTCTGGGTCGATTTCTTTTTGTCACTGTTTTGTCCATCAATATCCTACTGCAGTTAACAGTCTTTCTCCTCACTATTTACCACCATACCAACTTCTGTGTCACACACAAACTTTTTGATCAGACCCTCTACATGTATCATGCTATATCTCAGCACATTGACAGAGTGGTTTATCCAATCTATCAGAACAGGCATGACATCACAATGTGGATCCTAAGTAGTTCTTAGAACTCTATATCTTAGCTAGAGAAATTACAAACTCCATTGTTGTCATCACATTTATTCTAAGTACCAAGACGTTGGTTCATATGATTTATGCGAACCATCACGCATTCACAGCGACAAGTTAAAATGTTGGGAGGGTGGACCCAGTTCATGTATTAACTGCATTATTTAGAAGCATTACTCACCTCCTTACGAGCCATACTGCATTCAGATTGGTCCAGAAGGATGTTTAGAACTGTGCCCCATAATCCTCCAGAAATATTCTGACAGCTGGCTGCAAATGCAATGCAGCCATTCTCAACCAGAGTCAATGCTGATCCAATACCCAAACTGCCAAAACGGACCTAAGATAATATGAACAGAAATTTGTACATATTTCTGACACTGTCCAAAACTACTGCAATAAATCATAAACTAAATCACTGGCATAAATATACGTTTTGTGTTTCAAATTTAGAATCATATCATATGAAGCAACTGAACAGAAATTAAATTCAGGTCTGTGTAATTTCTGCAATAAAATTAAAAATGTGCAAACAAAGGAATATAAACAGCTTGATGCAGTAAAAAAAATCAAGCTAATAAATAATAACAAACAAAAACAAAGCTCATCAGGAAACAATAACATATTAGTGATCAGATTACCAACTTATGTTTCAGTAGCAGCACATGTGATATAGTGGTAACATCATTCAACAGGGACAAATCACATCTGCAAATAATATGATAATCTATTCACTTCTTTAAAGGGTGTGAACTAATGCTAATCTAGCTAATGTTAAGAAGAATGTGCAAAATTATGTGTAACTTCAACTTGTGCCATGCTCCTGAGCGTCACTATTGAATGGTTTGTGAAATTGTACTAGATGAGATCAAGAAATCAGAATAACAAAAGAGAATATTGACTCAGTGATGCATTTTGACGTAATGGCTATTTAAAAGAAAAGCAAGAAACCCACAAACCTCAGGGTCTCGGTCAACCCAAAGTGGAATGAGCCACGCCAGACCTAGTTGTGATGGCATTTGATCCTCATTGTTCTGTTCATCTGCCAAAGACCACAGTGATATCCAATCCTATTACAAATATAAACCAAAATGAATGCCAAATACCAGGACAGTTTCATTCATTTCAAACACATACACGGTTTCTGAAACCACAAACATGGTGGCACAACTGAAATGCTACACTTGAAAACATTAGCAGACTGCTATAAATTGTGGGTCTACTCCAGCTATCCTCAGATTCAATAACAGCAGTATTTCCTGCAGATGGAGCTCGTATCCCCTCCAACCAGTAATTTACCTGTAATACAATGTACCCTCCCACTGGTGCACTGAATGGAGTACTACTGTATGTGCCTTCATGTGGATTCCTATCATGTTTCACAAGACTTGATGTTCAAGCGCTTGAATGAGACAATGCTAACTGTAAATCAATAATCTCATTTATGTTACATGCAATGTGTGAATAAACAGAATAAGATTATTTTAATGTATTTTGTAATGCTCCACCTAAGATTAAAACTGAAACAACATGTCCATTAACACGCCACTCTCAGGTAACTGAACAGTTAATTTTGAATGAGTTGGCCCTAACCTTATAAAGTGAGTTCTTAGCCTTGGTGTCTAACCTGCATTACTGATTAGTACAGGATAAAAGTCCCTACCAAGCTGATAAAAAGCCAAAGAGTTGACAACTTTGGTCCTCTCCCACCTCTCCAGATGCTAGCTGAACTAACATTCAAACTGAATAGCACCATCTGAAGTGTAAGCATCCCTGATGGCTATACCTACTAGGCTCAAATGAATGGAAATCATTCTAATATATTACCATGTGATATTTACTCAAATGTCATTCACTGCCTCAAAATGATGTGCAAAACAATATTCACTTCTCTTGCCAGTTCATCCAGATTTATTTTGCAATCCTAAAAGTTCATCTGGTCTATGACTACATCTGGCGCTGCATTTTATTTAACACCAGTAACTTGGCAAACTATTTCAATTTTTCATGGATAAAATAAAATTGAAGTGCTGAAACAAAATACAGATTAACATTTAACGTGACCATCCTTTTAGTGCAAGTGCTAACGATTAGGTGAGTTGACATTTACAAATATTAGATACATACTTGGATTTATGTACCATCTTTAACAATCTTAGGAAGCCCCAAAGTGTCTCACAACCGTTTAAGTACTTTTCCCAAATGTAGTCAGAATATGATGCAAAAGACATCAGTTAACTTGCAACACTCAAACAGCAATGAAGTGCTGGTCAGATGGTGCTATCAAAAATAGGTGTTCATTCATGGATAAATAGTTGCCATCATAAATGGCAAACTCCCCTGTTCTTTCAAAATAGTGCATAAGAACTATTATGCCAATTTAACTCAAGAGGTCCATGATTTAATGTCTCAACTGAAAGATGGAACCTCCAACAATACAGCATTTCCTTAGTGGGACTTCAATTTAGAACTATCTGATTCAGAGGCAAGATTGCTATCCACTGAGCCACAACTGACACATAGTGCTGTATTCATTAGCTGTGGTAAATTTGCATAATCCCAGTTAAATAAACGATTCGATGAAACATCATCTGAAGTGAATTTGAATAGGATAATGATAATTTACTACTATTAAAAAAAAACTATATTAAGAAGCAAAAAAGCAGGGTCGATAAAGCAGAAGGCGTAAATTGCTTCACTCAAAAATCGATGTGGGAGGAATGGATTTGAATTCATGAGACACTGGTGTCAGTGCTGGGGAATGAGGAAGCTGTTCCAATGAGATAGGTTCCGCGTGAATCATGTTGGGACCATAGCCTGGTGTATCGTATAACGAGGGCTATGGATAGGGCTTTTAACTAAATAATGGAGGGGTTAGATTCAGTTGCATGGAAAATGGCACAAAGGAAGGTGGTTGTGGTTATTAGATCCTGTAGGATCTCTTGCGGGAATTCCTCAGTGTAGTATCTAAGGTGCAACCATCGTCAGCTGCTTCATCAGTGGCCTTCCCTCCATCACATAGTTAGAAGTATTTCTTGATGATTGCACGAAGTTCAGCATCATTTATGACTCCTCATATACTGAAGTGTGCTTTGTCGAAATGCAGCAAGACCTGGAAAATTTCCAGGTTTGGACTGACAAATTACATTCACAACACAAATGCCAGGCAATGATCATCAACGAGAGAGAATCTAATGGTTTCCCTTTAACATTCAATAGCGTTACCATGCTCAAATACAACATCCTGAGGATTAGCATTGACCAGAAACTGAACTGGACTGGATAAATATAAATACTTTGGGTACTACAGCAGACTAGAGGCTAGGAATCTTGTGGTGAATAACTCAGCTCCATACTCCGCAAAGGCAGGAGTCAAGAGTGTGATAAAATAACCTCCACTTGCTGGAAAGGGGTCCTTTGGTTCATTATGTTCATGCTGGTTAAGGGCCACCCCTCTACTCTAGTTTTTCAGTATTTGGCCCATAGCCTTGTATGCTGTGACTCTTCAAGTGATCATCTAAATACTCCTCAAAGGCTGTGATGGTTGTTGCCTCTATTTTCTTTTCTAGTGGGTTACAGATACTATCAGCCCCTCTGGATCAATAAAATATTCTTCCTTAAATACTGTCTAAATCATCTACCCTTTGTGCTCTCTGGTTATTAATTCCTCTACTAAAAGGGGAAAAAAAGTTTCTTCCCATCTATGATCCTCAATTTTTTTGCATAGATTTTAATTCCCTCAGCTGTTGTGACAAGATTTGAATCCACAACCCCCAAAGCCTCTGGACTTCTAAACCTCTGGATTACTTAATTAGTAGCATTACCACTAAGCCAACATCTCTCCTACAGAATGCAGCTCCAATAACATACAAGCTTGACAAAATCAACGACAAAGCAGCCCAGTGGATTGGCATCAATATCCACAAACATTCGCTCCTTCCACCACCAAAGCACAGTGGCAGCTGTGTGTACCATCTCTAAAATGCACTGCAGAAATTCACCAACACTCCTTAAACAGCACCTCTGAAACCCACAACAACTACCATCTAGATGGAAAAGGGCAGCAGATGCACGGGTACACCATTACCCACAAGTCTCTCTCCAAAGCACTTACAATCTGGACTGAAGTATATTTGTTTCTTCAATATCACTAGGTCAAAGTCCTGCAACTCCCTAACAACACTGTGGGTGAACGAAATGAACTGCTGTGCTTCAAGAAGGCATCTCACCATCTCCTTTTCAAGATCAATTAGAAATGGGCAATAAGTGCTGGCCCTGTCAATGCCACAATTCATGAATGAATATAAAACAAAACTTCACAGCAACTTCAATATCACATGCTGTATGAATGTTCACTTTCACTTTGCATCTGTCTTATATAAGCATGAAGCACAACCAAATATCAAATTCAACTTTAAGAATATAGGTTTATAAAAATATGTGGTTCATAAAAGATTGCTATTTATGCATATCTTTACTGATGATTAACAATGATGCCTCTGCTGGGATTAAAATTGCTGCAATTTCTGAGAAGAATGCGCCAAAGAATCAGAGGGCAAAACATTTTCCTCAGTGCTCTGGGATGGACGAATCGAGAATACATATTATTTTGTCAAGCACAATACACTTGCGGAGTGTTAGGTTCCAGTCCCCTTTTGGGTATTCCCCTGCTTGTTAAGAATTTACCTGATACCAATTCAACGAAAAAAGTCCTATGCTTTTAAAAATAAGGGGATGTCGCTGCATAAGATAAAGGTGCATGGCATTACAGGTAATATATTAGCAAGAAGATTGGTTAACTAACAGAAAGCAGAGTGTGGATATATAGGTGTTTTTCTCATTGGTGATCAGTGGCTAAGTGGTGTGCCTCAGGGATCAGTATTGAGATTGCAATTGTTTATAATTAAATAGATGATGTAGAGTTTGGGACCAAATGTAATGTGTCAAAGTTCGCAGATGGCACTAAGATGAGTGGTAGAGCAAAGTGTGCAGAGGACACAAAGTCTGCAGAGGGATATAGATAGGTTAAGAGAGCAGGCAACGGTATAGCAGATGGAGTACAATGTTGATAAATGTCAGATCATCCATTTTGGTAGGAATAACAGCAAAATGAAGCATTATTTAAATGATGAAAAATTGCAGCATGTTGCTGTGCAGAGGGACCTGGGTGCCCTTGTGCACGAATCACAGAAAGTTGGTTTGCGGGTATCGCAGGCAATTAAGAAGGCAAATGGAATATTGTCCTTCATAACTAGCAGGATGGAGTTTAAAAATAGGGAGGTTATGCTGCAGCTGTATAGAGTGCTGGCAAGGCCACACCTAGACTACCGTGTGCAATTTTGGTCTCCTTACTTGCACCAGAGGGAGTGCAAAGGAGGTTCACTGTTTGATTCCAGAGTTGAGAGGATTGGCTAATGAGGAGAGATTGAGTAGACTGGGACTATACTCATTGGAACTTAGAAGAATGAAGGAAGACCTTACAGAAACATATAAAATTATGAAGGGAATAGATAAGATAGAAGCAGGAAGTTTGTTTCCATTGACGAGTTAAATTAGAAGTAGGGAGCATAGCCTCAAAATAAGGAGGATCAGATTTAGGACTGAGTTGAGGAGGAACTTTTTCACCTAAACAGTTGTGAATCAGTGAGAACAGTGAAACTGTTGAGGCTATCCCGTTGAATGTTTTTACGGCAAAGATAGATTTTTGAACAGCAAAGGAATTAAGGGTTGTGGTGAGCTGGCAGTTAAGTGGAGCTGAATCTGTGAAAAGATCAGCCATGATCTTATTGAACAGTGGAGTAGGCTGGGTGGGCCAGATGGCCTACTCCTGCTCCTATTTCTAACGTGCTTATGCTGTTTGACTTGAAACACACAGCATGTACTTTCACTATTGCAGACATAGTATCTTTTAGGCACATGCTCCCAACAGCACGAAAAATAATCACAGCTCTCCAGTTCTCAAAACATTTCAAAATTAACTAATCTGACATGCAG